TACAAATAAATTCTTCACTGTGAGGATGGTGAGATACTAGAACAGGTTGCCCAGAGAACACTTCCTGGCAGTGTTCAAGTCCAGGCTGGATGGGGCTTGGTGCAACCTGATCCAGTGGGAAATGTCCCTGCCCGTGGCAGGAGGGTTGGAACCAGATGAGCTTTAAAGGTCCTTTCCAACCCAAACCATTATTTGATTCTATCAGTGACATTAAAATAAAATTAAACTGCATCAAGTAAAGCACATACAAACTGTGACTGTCACATAGAAAACAAAAATGGACTTTAATGAAGCCACAAATAGGACAGTCTGTATTTTACTGTCTACTACAACCCCAATGTTAATAAAAAGTAATGCCTTCTTTAAAGGTCCTTTCCAACCCAAACCATTATTTGATTCTATCAGTGACATTAAAATAAAATTAAACTGCATCAAGTAAAGCACATACAAACTGTGACTGTCACATAGAAAACAAAAATGGACTTTAATGAAGCCACAAATAGGACAGTCTGTATTTTACTGTCTACTACAACCCCAATGTTAATAAAAAGTAATGCCTTCTTGCATTAGCTCTGATGAGCTGGCCTGCAGCACGGTAAGAAAAAAAACCCTCCTCTTCAAACAAGATTCCACTTCAAGCAACACTGTCCTCCGAAACAGAGCACTTCAGAAGCAACAGCTCTCACACTGAGATGCAAATGCAAACTTCGCACTCCCTTAAAACAAAGGCATGCAGCAGGCAGGTCTGAGGAACACTCTTCTCCTCCCCAGAACTTGGTGTTGTCTGGTCACCGTTCACAGAAGCAGAAAATAAATCCTGTGAGCAACAATTCCCAATTACACACTTCAGGTGTAAGGGCCTTGCCACTGTCCTAAACGCTTAAAAGACGGCGTGATACTGCCCTGAGCTCAAGCACCACCTGAAAAGCCAGACTTACTCTCATTTTGAAGCGTGTTGATGGCATCATCCATAATGCAGTCTGGGGAAAACCCTGCAGTCTTCGATAACAAGCCCAGCAAGGAAGCAATCTTCAATCTTACAGAGGCATCGTTCTCCTGGAACGAAACAGTAGACACCCTGATTCGTTTTTCAGTTTGAAAGGCGTAAAACACTACACACAGGCAGGACCTGCACATAATTCAGCACAAGGGTCTGAATTTTACTGTCAAGCTACTTCCTCCTCCATACGCCCACAGCACACTCCACAGAAAATTAACCCACACCAGAACATTGATGTGGCAGCTTCCAGGACATTTCAAAATTATTCCTTGACTCGCTAACTCCTCAAAATTACCTTCCTAATGTTTGAAAATTTAAAGTTTAAATCAGTCAGGTTTTCGAGATGCCAGAAAATCCAGTGTTGATAACGTTACTACCTCTGCAAGCTTTTAATGAACAAATGGGAGGATTTTAGGAGATGAACTGAGACTGGTGGTCTCTTGACCATCTAAGCAGCAGGGTCTGTAGGCTACAGAAAACAACTGTTTGTCTTAACGGTGGGGAGGAGCCCTGCCAATCTGACAGCAAAAAAAAAGCAAGCAAGCCAACACAGCAAGGTAAAAAATAAATAAATAGAAGCATACATTAGCTGCACACATTCACTCATTTAAGCAACAGTGAAAGCTGTCAAGGGTGATAAACACATAAACAAGCTTCACCATTTAGTATTCATTTTAAAAGTTCATGCATTTCAAAGAGTCATTGTGAGTCTTCTACAGACTGGTCTGGGACTGGAAACTCTCTCCTTCATCATACTGCCAGGGATATCCAGTACAGGGTAGGAAGACAAGAAGAAGTCTGGATTTCGTACTTCTCACCAGGCAGTTGTGCAAGGCTGAACACAGAGGTGCAGATGTATTACAGTTAGAAATATTAACTCTCTCAACAGGTGCAGAAATATTAGTTACAACTTTGAAGTCTTTCAGCAGGGTTTAGGAGAGACTTCAGTGTCACACCCCCCCCCTCCAAGTGACCAGTATGACACCTGCGGGAGTCACCTCCCTCTCAACTGAGCCAAGAAGCATTTTCTCTTTTCAGGGTCAAAATTACCTCCTTGAACAACAGTTACTGTCACTGGATTACTTAAAGCAGTGGTAGGATACACGGATTTCCACAGTATGACACACTCGGTGTTTACTCACATTCTTTTAAAAAAAAAGGACAACCCTCTCCATGACTACAGATGAAATCAGGGATTTTGAAAAGGATATTTATAAAGGCACTTATAGAGCCTTACAACTAAAGGCTGCAACGTTATCACTACCCAGCCACAAGCAGCCTCCCACCCCAGAAGGCATTTTCTCCCTCCTTCTCATGGTTCATGTGCAGAAAATTAGAGAAAGTTATTATTTCAGTTTGCAGGTCTGATTGCTGTCTCCATGACCAAGACATCAGTAAGGGAAGGTGTCTCTAACCCCTCAGCCCCACCACCCTCAGGAAACGGGAAGCATCTTTCAGGATCACCTCAGGCCTCTGAGGACACAAGCAACGACTCTCTTCTAACGTAGGCTACAACACAAACTTCAAACACAAATAACCTGCCTTGTTTGATCAGGAGCAACAGTTTTCTTCACATAAGAACAAAGAGGTCAGGTTCTTTAAGTCGTACACTCTTTTGAGAGGGGACCAGTCCCATGATGAAAATAAGTTCCCATCAAAAAAAAGCAAAACAGCCTCAACATAGATAAAATGCAGCTTAAGAGTTTTAGCGCAAGTTCAAAGCAAAATAGAGTCAATTGTAAAAAGAAATACAGAACAGCACAAGGACATTTATGAGCAATGATTCAGCCTATGGTGCAGCTTTGTCAGATGCAGTAAGTTTTGCTTTATCGGGTGAAGGATCATTATCTGGATACTACAAAGCACGTATTACTTCTGGTATTTACTTGTTATTCTGCTGTTAAGATTTTTTTTTTCGTTGGAAAGTTTTTCAGAAGCTTCATTTTAAAAGTGCTTTGTTCACAGCATAAGCAATAGCCAGAAGAAAATTAAGAGCAAGGTAAGGAAACATCAGTCAGGAAGTATTTAGATAAAGTTGAGCCAGCTTTGGACAGCTGAGTTCCCTAGAAAACTTCTTGCTATGTCTTTTGTCCCTTGTTAAGTTAATTTAAGGCTAATCATGCAGGGCACCCGCAGAGATAACACAGTGACATCCCTGTCACAGGCTCCTGAAGCCATCAGCAAAGGGACCAAGTGACATGACCAGAAACCACCTGGGTAAAGGACTTCAGTCACTCACTCTCCTCACACAAGGCATCCAAAGCCCCAGCCATTGGCAACTGAATCAGCAACACAGGAGCCTGTGACTCCCTATTCCACATCCAACCCCAAGAAAACAAGACCAGAAGGAGGATTCTGGAAGGGCAGCTGGCTCCCAGCTTCACCACCTTGTAATAATGCTCCAGCAGGATCCTGACAACCCCTTCCACGCTCTCCACTTCCACGGGCTTCCTGGCAAACTGAAGCAGGTACTGCAAAGCATCTGCGGGCGAGGTGGCTTTGCACAGGTCAACGTGGAGCGCCGCTGACTTGCTGGGTTTGGTCAGCCGCAGTTTCTTAGCGGACAAGTCCTCGTGCTGCTGCTACAGGCAGAGAAACGGTTCAGAAACGCAGGGCACATCCTGACCCACTTCTCCTCAGAGCGAACAGCGTCTCGGCACTAAGCCCGAGGAAGCTCCTGTGCCCCGTGGCACCCACTGGCCTCTCTATCAGCTCGCTTAGGAAGGAAAAGATCCCAAACCTCCTGGGGCACCTACGTCCTGCCGAGGTAGCCCTCAATCCCCGGGAAACACTGCCTCTCTTCTCCCCACCCCTGCACAAATCTTGCTCCTTCTAACCCCAAACAACCACCCCTGGGCAAGCAGCTTCTCCCA